ATTCGACTTAATCGCATTTCAGACTATTATATATATAAAAAAAAAATAAAGTGGAGGAAATTATCAAACGGTTCTATGAAAAAATGAAGGCCATAATAAGCGCCCAAAAATGTTTGTCTTTGGATGAAAGTATAGTTCTGTGGAGGTGCCGACTTTTTTTTCAAACAATATATAAAAAATAAACGCCACATCTATGGCATGAAGTTATATTTGCTGACCGAGATGATGGTCTTGTTTTGAGAATGCATTTATTTGGTGGATCTAGCAATATCACAAGTGGAAAAGGACACGTTGAAAAAATAGTTATGCATTTGCTGAATGATTTTCTTGACAAAGGACATTCGGTATTCATGGACAATTTCTATAATGGATATAATCTGGCTATAAAATTATTGCAAAGACATACATACTGCTCGGGTACTTTACGAAAAAAACGCGAGTTTAACCCTATAATTGTAAGTACTAAGCTAAAGAAAGGAGAAAATAAGTCCGTGTATCATCGTATAGTTCATATTGGTTGTTTCAGAGACAAAAGGTATATTCCATATATAAGTACGGAGTTTGATAATGAAATGGTGGTCGTAGAAAGCAAGAGGGGCAATCAAAAAATGAAACCCAAGGTACTAGCCGAATACAACAAATACATGTCAGGAATTGATAGACAAGATCAGATGTTATCAAACTACCCTTATAAAAGAAAAACCCTTCGGTGGTACAAGAAATTGTTTGTACATATACTTCAAATGCAAGTTCTCAATGCGTATATAATCTACAATCGATATTCTGGAAAGAACTTGAATATGTATTATTTTTGCATGGCTTTATCCGAAGAATTGCTGCCACCTGTTGGGGCAGAAACTGTGCAAACTAGTCGCCGCAATGGCCACAAATTGACAAAAATTGATGCTACAACTACAGAAAATAAATCTGATGGACTTGTGCCTGCAGTCTCGATATAGATAGCAATACCACTGCTAACTGCCGATTGCTAAATAATAACGTAAAAAATTGTTTGCCGTAACGATGCTTACGATAAATGCAAGTCTACAGCCGAGATACCGAACAAAATTGTGACATATCTTCACTTTATGATGTTGTTACGCTACCAAAAAAAGAAGCTCGGCCATATTTATTTACAAAAAAAAATTAGTAGCCTGCAGGGCAAAGTAAACTTTGAAACGGGCTGGAGGAAAGTTGCCGACGAGCTAAACTAGCTTCCCAACGGATCCGTCAAGACTCCTGAGCAGTGGATAACAGTTAAGTTTCTATCAAAGAATTTTCCAAATTTACTACTAATGGCTTATACATAAATCAGCAAGCACATTATGTAACTAATATTTACTTAAAATACATACTTATTTATTTTGTAGGTATGGAGAGACTTCAAATGTCGGGCCTGCACTAAAGCTGCAAAATTAAAAAGGGAAAGGATTCAGACCGGCAACCAAGACATCACCACTGCTCCGCTGACTGAGGTGGAAAAAAAAAATTGTCACTTATAGGTGTTAAGTACACATTTGGCAGCAACTGCCCTGACTCTATGCCAGAGGAAGAAGAGAAGTGAGTTCAGTAGTGTGTAGTATACTCTTAATAATTACTTTATACAATTTCATACATATATGTTGCGGAAGTGAACGGCAGGGTCGAGAAGGGACGCCCTAGACGAAGGTTTATCGACCAAATCGGCGATACATTAAAAATGGGCCAGATTAGGAGTACCCTTAACCGACGAGCGTGTATGCGTAGATATATGGATGTAAAAGAGGCGAGAGAGGTGTGTCAGGATCGCGCCAAATGGAAGTCCGTAGTCTCTGCCTACCCCTCTGGGTGACAGGCGTGAGTGTTTATGTATATATGTACAATTTCATACACTTAATCAAACTTCGTAATCGTAGTTTTTGGTTTTAATGCAGTTTACAATTATAAACTAACTTTTACTTATTATTTAGACATTACAACATGAGATGGAAGCTGGGATGGAAACGGTAAAAGTTATTTCTTTGTCTCAATGTAAATTTCTAAGATATATTAAAATATAATGTAAATTCTGATGCACTTTAAATGTACTTACCTGAAATGTATTAAAACACAAATTTTAATTACAGGTAATGAATACAACTTGCTTGAGACACAGAGATCAAGCATCGCCAGCACCACAAAGTAGTAAGTTTATGTTATTTTTATTACACCTACATTCATACCTCTCTACATGATTATATTTCACTAATATATTTAATATATTTGATATTTGATTATTTTAATAGCAAGTGGCAGCAGAGCCACAGCTGTTGCTTCACTGAACAACAGGTGCACGAAGTAACTTTGCAGTCACCAGCACCACAAATAAGTAAGTTTGAGCCTTGTCATTCATATAATTCCTATTTACATACATTATCTATTTGTGATCCGCTGTTTTATCCACTATTTCAAGATAAAATGGTCTATGTGCCAAATTTCATATAAATCTTCTGCTGTTTTAGTTTGATTAATAAATAAACAAAAATCTTTGGAAATATTCACATTTATACTATTAGTAAGATTGTGATCATTTCATGTGTATTTCATTATTTCAGCAGTGAGTGGCAGCTGAGCAGCAGCTGTCATTAGATCACCATCTACTTTTCAACAATAGAGGCCCAGGAGGATAACGCGTAAGCTTGAATTTCAATTAAGTGCTAATAATATAAACATTAGTTCACAAGATGATCAGCTTGAGCAGAATAAAGCTAAAAATTATTTTAATTACAATACAATAAATTTTTTAGATCTGAATCCTCGCCACTCGGTCGCCGAACAAGCGATTATAGCTCAATAGTTAAATAATTGACAAATAGTTAAATAATTGGGCTCCCAAATAATTTCGTAAAAATAAATATTGTAATTGATAATTTCAACCTCAAATTTAAGTTACAGTTGTTAATTACGAACAAATTGTGTTCGGATAGAATGATCTATATAAGAGCGAGCGTAAGTGTCAATGCGTATGCATGTGTGAGTCCGTGTAATATTTAAAATCATAATTTGTTGAATCAGTTGCAAATAAATCATCAAGTAGTAAACAAGTCTCTCTGTTAACAAATCCCTATAAAATCAAAAGTGAACCTTAATACCAAGAACATATTGGTCGAAATCGAGCCGGATTTCAATTCGACTTACGACGTTCCTGCACCGCGCGATAATACAAAAGGACGGGTCGAGCGACGAGCTTAGAACAAAAGAAGACGTTTGCGTAAACAAGTTTTTATGCACGTTTAATGCACCATATGGCATTGAGTTGTAGATTGGAAAGAAATAAGTTATTATAAGACGGAAATAAGAAGCATTCGAGATTATAGACGATTTTAAGATAATTTAACAACTTATACCGAAAATGGCTAGTACACCGGAACAAATACTAAATGTGTTAGAAGATACAGCTATATTGTTAGGAAAAACTCAAGCAAATTTAAAGAAATGTCCGAAACAACGCCTAACAAGGGGTTACATAGAAACACGTATAAAAAGCGTTGAAGAATACTGGTCTACGTATAAAAGGGCACATGAAGAACTAGTGAATAGTGTTCCAAAACCGAAACGACAAGATATTCCGTATTTCGTTAATGAAGAATATTTTATTCAGGAAGATTTATATATTTGTATACTAGCCGATCTTAATGATTTATTATTTTCGCTTAACAAGTTATCGTCTTCAGCACCTATACAAGTCGATAATAATAATTCGGGTTCTTCTAATGAAGTGCATGTCAAGTTACCAAGGATTCAACTTCCAACTTTCTCGGGAATCTACGATGAGTGGCCTGCTTATCAAGATTTGTTTACATCATTAGTGCATAGTAACACATCATTAAGTAACGTACAAAGGTTGCATTATTTGAAAGGCAGTCTTACGGGAGAAGCCATGTCACTTTTGAAACACGTTCAAGTCATCGATGCTAATTATGAAGAGTCGTGGAACATGCTTAACCCTTAATTTCATAGTGATGGAAATTTCCATCGTTAAGAATTTTTGTCTTTATTTTTAGTCTGTGATCCGAATGAATTTATTTACTGACATGTATATGAACATCGATGTTTAGGCAACATTTTTGAACGAAAAAAAAACTGTCAATGTCAACTGTCATGGTCAATCATCTGTTCAAGTGAAACGATAACTACTTGTGTTTTGTGGTGTTTCTGATTGTTAGTTTGTGAACTTATACGAACAAGTAATTATTGAAAAAATTATTATTTCATAAAATAAGGTAAGTTTTCAATACCTAGGCAATTTGTTTTAGAAGAATCATAGTTTTTAGTTGTATTCTGGGTCTTTTTGTTTATGATGGAAATTTCCATCAATATGCATTAGTCGTAGTTCTCGATGTATGGAAACCTAACTTTTCAGCACAATTATTCTTTTATAGTTTATCTCAAGTTTATAATGATTTTTATGTAATATTTCAGCAAAAATGTCTTTTCCAAGATCAAGAATAATCAATGATAGAGACATTGAAGAGTACTTGTCTGCTCTGGAAGGAGGATATCTGTCAGAAGATGGCATGGAAATGTCTGATACGGAAGATAATGAGGAAAGTATCTTTTACACCAATAGAAATGAACCGCTGCAAGACGTAGAGGATGATGATAATCTGGAAAATGAACCTACTTTACATGAAGAACAAGTTGATGTGCATGATCCCCCTCTGATTCAAGAAACTGTGGCATCTAAAGCAGGAGAAAACTCTGCTTGTTCGACTTGGGTGTTAGACTAGAGGAAGCTGATTTGGAAGAAGAGTACACTTCAGTTTTCTGAGTCAAATGTTGAATTTGAAGGAAGCACTGATCTAGGTACTGAAATAACAGCCCTAAAAACACCATATCAATGCTTTAACTACTTTTTTACAACTGAACTTTGTAACAAAATAATATCAGAAACTAATCTATATGCCACCCAATTAAATCCTGAAAATAGATTTAATTTGTCTCATTATGACCTGAAAAAGTTTTTAGGCATTCTGCTTTACATGTCTGTTCAGCATTTCCCCAGCACACGCAAGTACTGGTCAAGGCGTTTTGGATTTGAACCTATAAAGCAAACTATGAATGTGAATACATTTGAAAAGATCAAAAAATATATCCATTTCAATGATAATGACAAATATATACCAGTTAACCAACCAGGACATGACCGCTTATATAAGGTGAGACCAATTATTGATAGTCTAAATCAAACCTTTTCCAGTGTAAAAAAACATCAAAGACTATCAATTGATGAACAAATGTGTGCCACCAAAGTGGGACATTATCTAAAACAATATCTCCCAAATAAGCCCCATAAGTGGGGATTTAAGTTGTATGTTTTATGTAGTGTTTTTGGATTTGCCTACAAATTTGAAATTTATTCTGGCCTAGACATTCCGACAAGACCTGAAGGTGAGCCTGACTTAAGTTCTACAAATAACATTCGCTTAACCAGAGATGTTCCACGAATGGTCAACCATATTATCTTCTTTGATAATTTCTATACATCTGTGCCATTAGTTATCTATTTGGCTAAGCAAGGAATACATTGCCTTGGCACAATTCAACAAAACAGAATTCCTAATAACAAGCTACCAGACAAAAAAGAGATGATGAAAAAAAATACCCCTAGGGATACTTATGAAGAAAGAACAGCGTCATATGAGGGAGTTGATTTAGCTTGCATAGCATGGAAGGAAAATAAAATAGTGACTATGTTATCAAGTTACGTAGGAACAGAGCCTGTTTCAACCGTCAAAAGGTTTGATAAAAAGACGAGGGAAAGAGTTGATATATTGTGTCCAAAGTCCATTACAGAATATAACAGTCATATAGGGGGTGTTGACTTGTTAGATAGTTTCTTGGGTAGATATCACTTCAGAGTAAAATCTCCTAAATGGTATATTCGTATATTTTTCCATTTGTTTGATCTGGCTGTTATCAACTCCTGGATTATATATAAAAATAATGCAATAAAAGAAAATGTTGCAAAAAAGAACATTTTAAACTTAGGTGAGTTCAGAAACGAGCTGGCCTATGTTTTATGTAACTCAGGCACAAACGAAAATAAAAGAGGTCGGCCTAGCTCTTCCAGCCTGGAGCAGGAGTTGCAAGCTAAGAAGAAGAGGTTACAATCAAAACCAATCCCTCCATTGGATATACGGATGGATGGTCTAGGGCACTGGCCAGATGTTGGTGTGTCGCTTCGTTGTAAGTATCCACATTGTACAGGATACACCACCATAAGCTGTGCCAAATGTGGCATAAATTTATGCCTAAACAAAAATAATAACTGTTTTACTAGGTTTCACACTACCTAATATCAAATATGGCAATTACCTATATGTATATTAACTGTAAGTGCATAGTGATGGAAAAATCCATCGCATGATATATAATATATTATATGAAAAAATAAATTACTACAACTATTTTAACATTTTTTTATATAATAAAGAAACTTTTTCTGCATCATGCATAATTTTTTTATTTTTAAATTCATAATCATAAATATTCTATGCATTTAAGGGTTAAAGAGCGTTTTGGCAACAAGCGGATTATCATTAATTCAATATTAAAAAGATTGTTTACGCAAAGAAAAATTAGTGTACAAACGGCAAGTAACCTCAAATCTATTTTGGATACTACAACTGAATGCCTGAATGCGTTAAAAAACCTTGGTCTGTCAACGAGCTCCTGGGACCCCCTCATTATATTTTTAGTTGTACAAAAATTGGACCCAGAGACTCACCGTGATTGGGAGGAAGATGCTTATAAGGATAATGCTGAAAACTTACCTACATGGGACGCGCTCAATAAGTTTTTACAATTAAAATTCCGCACTCTTGAGCTTGTCACGCCACCAACTAGGGAAAGACCAACAAATAGAGGAAAGGAGTATGCTGTTCACCTATCCACGAGTACTAATGATACTGCGACTTCTACGAAACTAAGAGTTTGCCCTATGTGCAACGAAAATCACACATTGTGTCACTGTGAGGAATTCATCAAGCTAAACCCAACAGAGAGATGTGATTACATAAAGAAACACAATCTGTGCTTTAATTGTCTGGCCCCTGGTCACGCTGCGCGACGATGTCGCCTGAAGATGTCCTGTAGAACATGTCATAAACGTCATCACACGCTCACGTACCATTTCACGCCTATGACGTCATCAAGACAGCTAGACAGTTATAACAATCAAGACAAACAAAACGACGTTGAAGATCACCGAGCTTCTGCACAATTAGCCGAATCCAATGTCACACTTTCATCACATGTCGCCTCTAAGGTGTCCACTGCATTGCTGGCTACGGCACTCATGCCAGTAAAAGGATACGAATCGAAACAAGTGACAGTGTTGCGCGCGTTAATTGACCATGGCTCACAGGCTACGTTCATGAGTGAAAGAGCAGCCCAGATGTTACGATTAAGGAGAACGCCTGTCAATGGCACTATCACTGGCGTTGGCTCTACTAAAACAAACGTTAAATATGCTGCAGAAATCGAACTTCTATCAAGACACGACCCAAACTTCAACATAAGGATCAAAACATATATAATGTCAACGCAACTGACAACCCAACTGCCGACTCAAACTATCTCCACCAGCACCTGGCCGCACCTACAAGGACTTGTATTGGCTGACCCAAGCTATAATCAACCAGGACGAGTAGACCTATTACTAGGGGTCGATGTGTGTGCTCAAATAATGAAAAGCGAAGTTATCAAGGGACCCCCAGGAACACCTTGTGCTCAAAATACGACCCTGGGTTGGATTCTTTTTGGGAGCGTGGAGGACAAACCAGCCGATAAATTGATTGTTATGCACCATAAACTTGACCTAAACGATATGCTCAAACGAATGTGGGAACAAGATGCATACGACAAAGTAGTACCTACAGCAGATGATCGAAGGTGCGAGGAAATCTACGAAAATACAACCACAAGAAATAATGACGGACGTTATATTGTGACTCTACCCAAAAAAACTAAAATGCTATTATCAACCCAAGGAAACACGCGAACAATAGCTCTGCAGAGACTCTATCAATTAGAACAAAGATTAAAGAAAAATCCAAAACTAAAAAAGGATTATGCTACGGTTATGAAAGATTACGAAACAAATTACATGGAAGAGGTACCCGGACACGAGATGACTAACCCATCGGTATACCTACCACATCATGCTGTTGTTAAGGAAGAAAAGGAAACTACAAAAATAAGAACAGTTTTTAACGCATCACAAAGAGGAAACAACAACATCTCACTTAACGACGAGCTGTTGGTGGGACCGCAGCTACAAGGAGACATGAGAAGTCTCATAATGAGATGGCGGATGAAAAGAATCTGCTTTGTAGCGGATATACAAAAAATGTATCTCCAAATCATGGTTACGAGAGAAGACCAAGACCTGCAACGAGTACTCTGGAGATATGATGATCAAGATCCTGTCAAAGACTACCGACTTACCAGGGTCACGTTCGGAACTGCTTCTGCTCCTTACTTGGCAGTAAGGACCTTGCACCAAGTAGCTCATGACGAAGGCCAAAATCATTCTGAAGCAGCAGAAATAATAAAGAGGGATTACTTCATGGATGATATGATGTCTGGGAAAGACAACCTCACCGATGCTGTCAGAATAGCCAAAGACATAGACGCCATACTGCAAAGGGGAGGCTTCAAATTAAAAAAATGGTGTTCTAATGACGCAGACTTCCTAAAGGAATTTGAAGAGTCTGAAAGAAGTTCTCATGTAAAACTAGACATAACATTAGACGGGATTACACGAGCATTAGGACTACACTGGAATATTGGCAAAGATCTATTTCAATACAGCTTAAACCTATCTGCAACGGCAAATATAATTACAAAGAGAACAATCCTGGGTGACCTACAGAGATTATTTGATCCACTGGGCTGGTTGGCACCATCTGTCTTACCCGTCAAACTTCTGATTCAAAGATTATGGCTGCAAGGAGTAGCATGGGATGAGGAGGTGGACGAAACGATTGCTGCAGAATGGAACAATATACGAGATTCCTTTCATATGTACCTACCAGATATCGAAGTAAACAGATGGCTAAATACTACTGAAGCCACAATAAATAATGTTACTATCCACGGATTCTGTGATGCATCATCTCGAGCTTACGCTGCAGTGGCTTACCTAAGAGTAAGAACAGAAAGAGGTGAAGTGAAGACAACAATCATCGCTGCTAAAACCAAGGTTGCACCTACAAAACCACAATCCCTACCTCGTCTAGAACTAAGTGGCGCTGTACTGCTTGCTGGTCTTTTAAACCAGATAAAGGAATCAATGAACGTACCTGCCTGCCAGATATTTGCTTGGACTGACTCAACCATTGTACTCTCCTGGTTGTTTGGTGATCCTGCAAGATGGAGCACTTACGTAAGAAACAGAGTTGTTGAAATACTTGACACCATCGGCAATCATCGATGGATGCAGGTGGCTCAGGACCGTGTTTTGTGGCATTCTTTGGGGGAGGCCTATGTTCAGCAGTGGACTTGTGAAGGGCTGTAATGATGATGATGATGATGATCGGCAATCATAATTGGTACCATGTCAAATCACCAGAAAACCCAGCTGACTCTGCTTCATGAGGGCAATCCTTGCAAGAGCTAAAAAATGATGAACGGTGGTGGAAAGGCCCAGAGTGGCTGCGAGTAGGGGAAATACAATACAGCAGACCCAATACTATCTGGACAGACCTGGAAAGAAAGAAATCGATACATGTAAATTTGAAATTAGACAAAGAGAAGAGTATTAGTACAAAATTTGAGGATTGTGACAAGTTGCAAGAATTGCTTAAGATGATTATATACTCCAAAAGATTCTTAAAGGGAAAGAAAATGGAATACAAAGACTTACCTGTGACCACGACGGAACTTAATGATGCGCTAAAAACCTGCATAAAAATAACTCAGAAGGACAGCTTCAAAGAGGAAATACAGCACCTGAAATCAAGGGAACAAATTAGAAGAGCCAGTAAACTAAAGAGTTTAAAGCCTTACCTGGACGATGATAACATCCTCAGGGTGGGCGGCCGACTGCGTCACTCGGACCTAAATGAAGACTGCAAAAATCCAATTATTCTGGATCACGACACTCATCTTACCTCTCTTCTCGTTGCTGACGCACACTCTAAGACGCTACACGGTGGAGTTCAAGTAATGCTCTGCTTTCTGCGAACAACATTCTGGATCCTAAGAGCTAGAATATTAGTAAAGGCAAAGATAAGAAAATGCCTTATTTGTGCAAAACTTAACGCTACAGCAAGATCACAACTAATGGGGGACTTACCGCGAGTTCGAGTCACACCAGCTAAACCCTTCTTAAACACCGGCATGGATTTTGCCGGCCCGTTCCATATCTTGATATCTAGAGGAAGAGGAGCAAGGACAAACAAAGCATACATTGCTCTCTTTGTCTGTATGTCGACGAAAGCGATTCACTTAGAATTAGTGGGAGATCTTACCTCAGATGCCTTCATCGGAGCCTTCAGAAGATTCGTAGCTAGACGTGGAAGATGCGCTCACATCTGGAGTGACCAAGGACGTAACTTTGTTGGGGCAAACAGGATACTCGCAGCAGAATGGGCTGAAGCCAGGCTTTAACTTGAGGGTCCGATTGCGGAGACGCTAGCAATGGATGGGACTGAATGGCATTTTATTCCCGCCTATAGCCCACACATGGGTGGACTGTGGGAGGCGGGAATCAAATCGATGAAAAACCATTTAAAACGGATAATGACCTCTCACGTAACTTACGAAGAAATGAGCACCTTGTTATGCCAGATTGAAGCTTGCCTCAACTCACGACCGCTTACCGTATTAAGGGACACAGACACAGACAACATCCAACCATTAACGCCTGGCCATTTCCTTGTCGGTGAGACGCCTATTACGGTTCCGACACCAGACTTCCAAAACATCCCAACAAGTCACTTATCAAGATGGCAATACCAACAAAGATTGTTGACGGACTTCTGGCGTCGATGGCAACAAGAATACCTGTTGAGAATGCAACAGTGTCCAAAATGGCAGAGGAAGGTCAAGGAATTTGACATAGGTCAAATTGTCCTCGTAAAATCAGATAGTTTGCCCCCAGGTAAATGGATGATGGGACGTATTGTAAAAAAACACCGGGTGCTGATGGTGTCACTCGTGTGTACAGTGTAAAGAGTGGTGCTAGTGTCGTGCAAAGATCTGTAAATAAGCTGTGTTATTTACCAATAGACATTGAATAATGATTTATTTTATTATAACTAAGGCAAATTGTGTATATCCATATTCTATA